AAAAAAAAAAAAAAAAAAAAAGAAAGAAAAATAGTCCCTATATAGCTAGTAACTTTACATACTGAAACTCGTCATCTGTCAACCCATCATGCTGCAGGTACCTGACTCCATTCTGTCTTGGACCTACCTGAAACCAAATGGCATTCACGACTTTGCTCAGCACAAACAGGGGGAGCACCCACAGAGCGCTGAAAATGGATGTGAGGAAGAATTCCAGCCAGGACCAAAAAACTCCATGCAGTGATGGATCACCTAAAAAAAGGGAAACAAGTTATTAGCTTAACTGGACAACTGGAACACCAGAAGACCAAATATGAAACTCCTATTTTGTGACTCTTCTTTCCTTCCCACCGCCACGTCTTTCTTTCCTGCCAGCACATCACTAGACCTAGCTCTAAGGGTCTAATTCAGAACAGACACAGCACAGTCTGGCCACAACTCCAATTCAGAGTAACCACAGACATGTGCTGCTTACCTTAAAACAGACTTGCTTGCATGGTGGTGACTGAGATGCTAGTGACTATTAGTATATAATTTGCAGGAAATCACCTCGGTTTAAATCCCAGCTCTGCCACTTTCTAATGTTTTAAACTTGGCAACTTCCATTTTCTCATTCATAAAATGAATAGTACCCATCCCAAAAGGTGGTTGAGAAGTTAAAAACATCTAAAGCTCCCGGCACATAGGAAATGTTCAGTAAACTGAGGCAAACTGGAGCCATCGTCTCCCACCTCCATCCCAGCAGACAAGGAGCAAGGTATATAATAATATACTTACCGATAATTAGGGCTGTTACATACTGAAGCCCAGGAATAAACATTCGATAAAACAAGAGGAGACTACACTAAAGAAAAGAAACAACAAGGTAAACATCAAAAGCCTTTCTTTAAAACAAGCATTGCAAGTTTCAGTCTAATGATTTTATACATGTGAGTACCTTTTATAAATTAGAAGGTCTGAAAAAGCACTAAAACTGGACCTGTTTCTATTTCCCGTTACTCCAGTTGAAAGGTACAAACCCGATACTGGCTATAAACCAGTAAAACTTCTGGGAATACAGAAGAAAATTTCAGTGCCAGTTTTTGGGCCTGAATACTAAGTAGAAAGTAATGCTTACTGACTAAATCTAAAGCTAACAGCCAAAAATATCTATGAAATGTTTTTAGATTAAGATGAATCGAATGACACTGAATTCCAAGTCAAAGGAAATATTAAATACCTGTCCTTCAGTATACCCAAATTTCACTTAAGCCTGTGCTACTTCTCAGTTAATGGAAGGCAGACTTTTCCACTATGAGTTTCAACAGTAATCAATTCTAGTCAATCGCTATGACCAGAAGCAGGGAGAACCTCGCTCTTCTCCAGTCATATCCCTTCTTTCCTTCTGATCCTCATTGTTGCTCTTACCCAAAATGTCCAGACAGTGTCCAGAGAAATTGTTACCTATACACCTAAGAATGCTAAAACTTGTGAGTCATGTAAATAAATAAAGTATATAGGCCGGGCGTGGTGGCTCATGCCTGTGATCCAAGCACTCCAGAAGGTCAAGGCAGGAAGATCGCTTGAAGCCAGGGATTTGAGACCAGCCTGAACAACATGGTGAGACCATATCTCTGCCAAAAATAGAAAAATTAGCTGGGCATGGTGATGCATATATATGCCTATAGCCCCAACTACTTGGGAGGCTGAGGCAGAAGGATCACTTGAACCCAGGAAATTAAGTTGCCATGGGCTATGATGATTCCACTGCACTCCAGCCCAAACAGAATATACATTAAGTATATTCAGGGCTATCTATGCACAAAATCCTGAGTTAGAGTCCTAAACGTTGAGAAATATCAACCTGGCAACAATCTGAAGATGCTTATAAGGGAGCTGGAATTTGTGGGGGAAAAAACAAAGAACTTACCCAGAACACTCCACCATTCCAAGCACAACACTGGAAAATTCTACTAACAATACGTGGCTCACTGAAAAAGACCACATATGTTTAGGTTACAAAGCGTACAAGTTATCTCCTAACTGTCATTCAGTAGCTCTCCATTTCACACCTTTTGTTGGTACCATACTATTTTGCAGCACCTAATGTTCTCCTACTGGTCTAATGTCAGCCAACGAGAAAAAGCTAAAAATATTCTGGGGAGCCAGTTTTTGTTTTTTCCCTAAAATCTCAGGTTAAAGAAAACTGAAAAGTCTCAGTTGGGGTTTTTCTATCAATAAATAAATCCATATAAGCTCCCCTAGAAGTATCTATTGAACCCACTAATACCTTGTGCTTCTCTATTCAGCATTCTGATTGTTTATTAAACACCATCTGGGCAAGGATTATTGCTAGATCCTACTTTAAGTCAAATGCAAGGTGGGGAACCACATATAACATTTTTCTTGGAGAAAGCACAAAAACTAATTAATGGTGTACTGAAACTTCAAGTCACTCTGTACGTAGGGTCCTCTCTGCCTGGGAGGTTTGGGCCGGCACTCCTTACCTCTCTTGCTTCCGCTCCGTGCTCTGGGCTCTCCTCTGTGCCAGGACACTGCTTGCCCTTCTTCGGCGCTGCTCCTCTCTCTTTTGCTGGATTCGAGCATCTAACTTTGAGATGGTGCAAATACCCCATATGGAGTCTTTGATTCCCTATAGACAAGGATGTTATTTTTAAAGGAAGAATATAGATCAGAGAAGACTTAAGTACATATAGTAAAGTGGAAACGACTGTATTTATTTTTCTATGACTTAAAGGGCCTTTTGGGTTTGTTTTTTTTTGTAGAGACAGAGTCTCACTTTATTGCCCTTGGTAGAGTGTCATGGCATCACACAGCTCACAGCAATCTCCAACTTATGGGCTTAGGCAATTCTCTTGTCTCAGCCTCCCAAGTAGCTGAGACTATAGGTGCCCACCACAACACTCGGCTATTTTTTTGTTGCAGCTTGGCTGGGGCTGGGGTTTTTTTTGTTGTTATTGTTGAGACGGAGCCTCAAGCTATCCCCCTGGGTAGAGTGCCATGGCATCACAGCTCACAGCAACCTCCAACTCCTGGGCTCAAGCGAGTCTCCTGCCTCAGCCTCCCAAGTAGCTGGGACTACAGGCGCCCGCCACAACGCCTGGCTATTCTTTGGTTGCAGCCGTCATTGTTGTTTGGCGGGTCTGGGCTGGGGATTCGAACCCGCCGCCTTTAGGTGTCCGTGGCTGGCGCCTTAGCCGGTTGAGCTATAGGCGCCGAGCCAACACCCTGCCATTTTTAGAGGCAGTAAAGTTTTGTGCTATTGATAATTTGGATGACTAGATCTCAGCAGATCTTTATGGGGCACGTTCCTGGAGCATCCTCCTCACTCATACCTTGTAGAATGGGAAGCAAAAAGTTAGGGTCTGTAATGTAAGTCCAGATTAAATAGTTTGTGTAATAGTTCTGTACTAATATTCATTTCTTAGTTTTGACAAATGTGCCACTGTTATATGTTGACATCAGGGGAAGCTAGTGAAAGATACACAGGAACTCTCTGTAGTTATCTTGCAACTTTTCTGTACATCTAAAAATATTCCCAAAAAGCTCAAGCCCAGCTGACCAAGGGTCTAATTCTAGAGATATTCACCAGATAGGTCTACCAGGTGCCCAAAAGATGCATGATATTACCTCTTAAGTAATGTGGCCTAGGATGGAAACTTATAGTGAAGGATCTAACAAATACAATAATCCCCCAAACAGCTAAAGGATTTCCTAATCAGTTTCATCAGCCAAAAAAAAAAAAAAAAGAGAATGAATTCCTAGGTACTCACCCTGGCAAGGTCCTGGAGAAATGTTTTGACACTGTCAGCCATCTCTTCACCACCCAAACTATCAACTACACAGAGGAGAGAGAAGCACCCCAAAATCTCTCATCATGTAGGACCTGGAAACAGAGCACAATGGGGGGAAAAAACCTTAAAGCTACTTCATGTACATTTCTTTAATGGTTTTATTTATCATTTATTTATTTATTTATTTGCAGTTTGGCCAGGGCTGGGTTCGAACCCACCACCCTTGGTATGTGCGGCCGGCGCCCTACCCACTGAGCCACAGGCGCCGCCCTTCTTCATGTACATTTCTACATGATGACTTCACATACTTGTAGCTCTAACAGAAGAGCTATAGATTCTAGCAATTCAGGAGACACTAATGAACTAACCAAGTCTATTCCTGTAATAGCTGAAACCTAAAATCTATAATTTTAGTTTTTAATCACTCACTACCCTTTCACTTTTACATGGGGGAAAGTGCTCTTGGAGGCTTCATGGCTCTAATTCCCCCATACATTCCAAGCACTTTTAAGGATTTGGAGTTGAATGATCATTACATTTCAGTATCCTCTTGAAACAGTCACATCCCAAGGGGGACCCATGGATCGCTGACTCCCCCCTCACCATGGGTGTGTGACTGGTAAGCAGGCTTTAGTTTATAGGGGTTTAGTTTGTTTGAGACATAAAGTCTCACTCTGTTGACCAGGTTAGAGTGCAGTAGTGTCAAACCTGGTGCACAGCAACCTCCAACTCTTGGGCTCAAATAATCCTCCTGCCTCAGCCTTTGAGTAGCTGAGACTACAGGCACCTGCCATGACACCTGGCTGATCTGTCTGTTTTTAGTAGAGACAAGGTCTTGCTCTTCCTGTTGCTCAGGCTGGTCTCAAACACCTGACCTCAAGGGATCCTTTCATCTCAGCCTCTCAGAGTGCTAGGATTACACGCAACCCACCAAGCTGGGCCTGTTAAGCAGTTTTTATGCTTGCTGTATACACTGAAACGTGAATGAAAATACAAAACCAAAAAGTTCTTTAAAAAGTCATTAAATAAGGGCAGTGCCTGTGACTCAGTGGGTAGGGAGCTAGCCCCATATACCAAGGGTGGAGGGTTCAAACCCAGCCCTGGCCAGCTAAAACAGCAGTGGTAACTACAACAAAAAATTGCCAGGCACTCTACTGAGGGCAACAGAATGAGACTTGTCTTAAAAAAAAAGTCATTAGGCTCGGCGCCT